TTTTTTTTTTTATCATAGCTTTTATATTACGATTTTCAATATATGTCAAATTTTTTAAATGCTGCACATACTAAGACGTTGCAATTCGTTTTGAATGTGCAGAGGGAATCTGTTTTCTAAGCGCCCTCTAGAGGAAGACAACCACCAACGTCTTCTCCAGACCAGATGGTGGCAGTAAGTATTATTGCTACTTTGCCGTATCAAGCAGTGCAACAAACCCGGAGGAAGGACGCTAGTGCACTATTGTGAGTATTATATTAAACTTTATCGTTTTCTTTTTAAGCCTAAACGCAACATGTTTGTGTAAAACATAAACAGGAAAATGTCCTTATCGAATTCAGTGTGTAATTTACGTGGCAACGGTGCAGTTACACATGCATTGGTTGTTTCTGTGCAAAATGTATAACAATATTATTATTCAAAGGCCATTTACCAGTGTGGGACACCCCACGCATCACTTGACTTTAAATACATTTCATGAGAGGACGTGTTTTCCGTGGAAATTACAGCATCGGTAAGCTTCGACAGATATGCGTGCTTGTTTTGTGATTGCTCTCTGTGTGTTTTCATGTGTGTATAGTGTTTAGGTGACGCAGATGTCACAGTCAGCGCAGCCCGGCGTGATGCCTTCAGCCCCGGACTCCCCATCTCTGAGCGTGACCGTCAGCGGGAATGTGCAGAAATACAGCATCAAGAAGAAAAAGGTCTTAAATGCGGAGGAGACTGAGCTGTTCGAGCTCACTCAGGCTGCTGGGATAGTCATGGACCAAGAGGTTTTCAAGTGAGTCCCACAAAATCACATTTAAAACGGATAATGCCAATCTTTAAGGCAGGACAACAAAACAAAAACATATCCGTGCATTTGCAAACCTTCAGCATATTTTTAGGAATAAAATCGAAAGGTTTAGTGTAAGTGCTGCTGAAGTGGGGATTTCTGGCTCAGTGCATGAGGGAAACAAATACATTCTGAGAAATGTCTTGAAATTGAAATCTACAGACACAAATAGAAAAAGTAAAATAAGATAAATACCTAAATGTGTATTTTGGATGTTTTATTTCCACTAGTCTGATAGAACACTGTAAGCAAAATAGCCCAAAATCTCCAAATTGACCAATGCATGAATTAACAATGGATTTGTTTTGAAGGAATCGTTCCTTTGAGTCAGTTCTTTTAAATTAATCAATTGAACTATGAATTTGACTCAATCGGTCAGAGCCGTTCTCCAGTCACTGACTCTGAGAACCGTCTTTTTTTTTATCGTGTCTTACTCATAATGAGCCAGGCTAACAGCTTTCAGCCTTTTTGAACCAAATCCAGTTGCAGAAATAATTCCGTTTTTCCAATAGTACTTTTAAACTTTGATTTGGTGAGGTGTTTGTGAAGCAGGGTTATTATAATTAAATGTTTTTGTTGTTAAAATAAACGTTAACTAATATATATAAGACACGCACAACAAAATTACTGACTAGTTATTATTAACTTTAACTCAAATGAAAACGGAAAATATATTAAATAAAACATTTAATTCAAAATATTATTAAAAACTACAGCTGTGAAATACCTACAATTAGGCTAATGAACCATATGATTTTGTGTAATATGTCGTCTTACTATTATTGATATATTAATATACTTTTTTATTGAATACTATTGTCTTTAATCCCACTGCTGTTGCCACTTTCATAAAAGCCATGTTGTAAAATGTAATTTAGTATTTGTAGTAAAATCACTGTGGCATAACCTCCTTTACTGAGTTAGCAGTTTTTATCCGTTAATGTTGCATGATTTTAAATGGTCCATCTCACTCTGCTACAGGATCATATTGGACCTGTTAAAGATGAACGTTGCTCCTCTGGCAGTCTTTCAGACCCTAAAGACCATGTGTGCGGGGCAGAAGGTCTCTGAAACATCCACTGGTGACACATCCACTTCGTCTCACACCGCCACTGCACCTTCAGAGTCTAGAGGTGAGGGCCACACATGTAAAAGTCATGGAGTAAACAGACCTAAGCATAATATGCCACAGAATGATATGATTT